CTGTGAGGCGGTGGCTGATTTATAGTCGCTGCATTCTATACGTTATGGGCAGTCTCCACATCTGATTGGCTAAAATGCAATCCGGGGGCTTGTCGCTAAGTCAAACCATGTCGCACGTGATTTGAAAGGCTCCTGCTTGCCATTGCATCAATCAATCAGAGTGGGCATTCTTTGACTGCTGCTTGAAACATGCTACATAGGGCCAAAGGCCACCTGACAAGGTTAGCTGGCTGATGTTCCAACAGGGGGACATTGAAAAGGCTTCACGAAAAGCATCCAAATTGTAGAAATTTCCATTTTGGCTCCTTAAGAGAGTCTGACCTTCATAATCCAATTTATGACTGCTATCAGAATGACTTTGCCTCTTTGGGCCCCTTACTTCTAATCCAGAATCTACTGTTGTCCTGGGCTAAGCCACCGTGGTTGAGCAGGAATTCTCTGACGTGGTTGGCAGAGTGCTCCTGGAAATCAATGGACCTTGCTGACTAATCAGGAACTCCAGTTCTAATAAAAAAACGTCGGTTATTTGGGAAAGGGAGAAATAGCAAAGCTACAGCCTCCAAACAGAAATGGGAAAACATAAAGATATTGAAAGTACTTAAATATTTACCAAATTTAAAATTGTTTTCTTTACATTCTTTGGGTCCCCAGATGTATGACGCACACTTGAATTGGTAGATTAACGTAAGAGTCATAGTTTAAAGAAATATGTACATATATATTTCTCTTAGGGGAGAAAAAAGAGACATAAATGGGAAATACGTTAAAATTAGTAGCACGCGCCTTATCAAGGAGCTCAACGGTGAAAGGTAAAACTCTTTTCCTCTAAGATCAGGAATAAGAAAAGAATGCTCACTTTCGCCACACCTACCCAACACAGTACTGGAAATCCTAGCCAGAGCAATCAGGAAAGACAAAGAAATAAAAGGCATCCAAATAAGAAAGGAGGAAGTATAATTCTTCCCGTTTGCAGATGATATGATTTTATATTTAGAAAATCCTAAAGACCTCGCCCAAAACCTGCCAGAACTAATCCACTGATTCAGTAAAGTTTCAGGAAACAAAAGCAACATACAGACAACAGTTGCATTTTTGTACGCCGGCAAGAAAACATCTGAACGAGAAATAAAGAAAACAATCCCATTTACAACCGCATCAAAAGCAATAACATACTTAGGAATAAATCTAACCAAGGAGGTGAAAGATCTATGCAATGAAAACTATAAGACTTTGAAGAAAGAAATTAAAGAAGGCAATCGAATGGAACAGCATTGTTAATGGAAAGAAAGAATTAATATTGGTAAAGTGTCCATATTACACAAAGTCATATATAGGTTCAAAGCAATGCCTATCAAAATCCAATGCAGTTTTTCACAGAAAAAAATTTAAAATCCTAAAATCTGTATGAAGACCCCCACCCGCACGTGCGCGCGCGTGCACACACACACACACACACACACACACACACACACGCTCACCCAGTAGCCAAAGCAATCCTGAGAAGTTAGAACAAAGCTGGAAGCATCGCACTTTCTGATCTCAAACTGTGCTAAAATGCAATAAAATCAAAACGGTATGGTACTGGCATAAAAATAGACACCTGGAACAATGGAAAATAATAGGGCGCCCGGAAATAAACCCATTTATACAAGTCAGTTAATATAGACAAGGGAATCGGGAATACTCAAAGGAAAAGGAGAGTCCAAATGGTGTTGGGAAAACTGGATGACCACATACAGACGAATGAAATTGGATCCCCATCTTAGGCAACTCACAAAAAAATGAACTCAAACAGGTTAAGGACCTAAATGTAAGACTGGACCAATTAGAGTCTTCCTGGAATGTTCACCTCTAGTGACAGAAAGAGTAACAGGTGTGATTTTTCTGCTCGTTGTTTGTTTCTTGGACTGGTTTTATGCTTTTTAACCATAATTATTTAATAATATTAGTTTTCTAAAGCCGCCCTAAAATTTCCGGAGATTGGGCTCTTTAAACAAGATACATTAATTAGCTCAGATTTTGGAGGCTCAAAATGCAAATCCACGTGTCAACTGGTTGGTACCTTCAGAGTTCTGTGAAGGAAGCATCTGTTCCAGGCCACTCTCCTTACCTTGTGGATGGGGAAATCTCCCTATATCTGTCTGCGTTTTCTTCCGCATATACATGTCTCTGTGTCTAATTTTCTCCTTTTATGTGGAAACCACCCATTTTGCATTAAGACTCACTCTAATGAATACCTTTTAACTTGATTACTTCAGTGGAGACCTTATCTCCCAATATGATCTCATATGAGGTGCTGGTATTTAGGTCTTCGTCAGCGTACGAATTTTAAGGGGACACACTTCAACCCACAGGTGATATGGATTTGAGCTATCGGTGGGAATTTCTTCTTCCTCTTTCATAATATTAAGAAAACATTGATGACTGCTCGAGGGAGGAAATTAGGCCACCCTCCTTTCGTCTTTTCCCACAACTATTTGAATATCAAGTATTTTCATTTTGACGTTTTGTTTCTCCTACCTTTCTCTGTGAAGGGGGATGATATTATGTGATTTCAATCCTTAACAAGTATTAAGATTGCTTTAAACCTAAACGCTTTCTCAATTTCGTTATGTATCCCATTTGCACTTTAAAGTAAGTTGTAGTTTCCCCTTTTGATTAGGACGTAGAAACCTGTAGAGGATGTCACTCTCAGCCAAACAATGAGACAAAAATCTGGATAATCTACAGAAACCAAACTTTTCTTGAGTCCCTCAGAAGAGGAGCAGGATGGTACGGAGGAGACAAAACACAAAGACTACTTAACATCAGCAGAGCCTCATGAACTAAAGAGACAGGATGGGGGCAAACCTGGATTGTAGAGAGAGCTCCCTTGTGTAGTGCAGGAATGAAGGGGCGAGGGGGAGGTCAACGCCTTTTCAAAGAGGGAGTACAAAAGCCTGTTTCTTTCTGTCCAGTGGGCCCTTATACCTCCAGGGGTCTCCCTGGGATCATTAGAGTAAGGATTTAGGATAAATGAATCCCCTCATCAGGAATATTGATCAGAAATGTTGTTTGATGTAGAATAGCTATAATCAACAGAACAAGTAGTAACAAATGTTGGAGAGGATGTGGAGAAAATGGAACCCTAATACACTGCTGGTGGGATTAGATGTCCAGCACACTTCACCCCCATGCCAATGCCATCCTGCTCCAGATCTTAACTCGGAAATAAAGACAATTGAGAAAAATAAATACTCATAACGGACATCATGTTAAAGGAATTTGTAAAGAAGAATGTAATTTAGGAAGAAGGAAAAAGATCAGAGCTAGTCGATCTGAAATGCATGTAGAAATAGTAGTAAAATAAATAATAGCAAATAGAGGTAAATGAAGAATAATGATTATATATAACAGTTACAGTAATTGATGATAGCTACTTTGAAGAATCAAGTAAATGAGATATAACTAAGTAATATAATTATACATCACATGGATGATGAGATTGTCCAAAGAGCACAGCTCATGTGCTGCTCTCCACCGGCTCAGTCAGTATTGGACCTCCAGGCCCTAAGCCACAGACTTTGGCCCTAAGAGTGGGAGGGTGACCAAGGATGAACCAATAAGAGCACTCTTGAAAGGTTAAGCCTTGAGGATTGTGGAGGAAATTGGTGTGGTTTCTTTCCTCTTTCCTCCTCCTCCTCCTCTTCCTTTTCCTCTCTCTCTCTTCCT